AGCAGTATATTGACAGAGGACTTCCAGAAATGCAAACTGGATTCAGAAGAGGACGTGGAATGAGGGATATCATTGCTGATGTCAGATGGATCTTGGCTGAGAGCAAAGAATACCAGAAAGATGTTTACTTGTGTTTTATTGACTATGCAAAAGCATTCAATTATGTGGATCCCGACAAATTATGGATAACATTGAGAAGGATGGGAATTCTAGAACACTTAATTGTACTCACGAGGAACCTGTGCATAGACCAGGAGGCTGTCTTTTGAACAGAACCAGGGGACACTGGATGGTTTAAAATCAAGAAGGGAGTGCGTCAGGGTTGTATCCTTTCACCATACTTATTCAATCTATATGCTGAGCAAATAATCTGAGAAGCTGGAATATATGAGGCATCCGGATTAGCGGAAGAATTGTTAACACCCTGCAATATGTTGACGACACAACTTTGCTTGCTGAAAGTGAGGATGACTTGAAGCACTTACTGATGAAGATTGAAGACTACAGTCTGCAGTATGGAGTACACTCAATATAAAGAAAACAAAAATCCTCACAACTGGACCAGCAAGCAGCATCATGATAAATGGAGAAAAGATTGAAGTTGTCAAAGACTTCATATTACTTGGTTCTATAGTCAACATTAGTGGAAGCAGCAGTCAGTATATCAGACATCATTTCACACTGGGCAAATTGGCTGCAAAAGACCTCTTTCAGGTGCTGAGGAGCAAAGATGTCTCCTTGAGGACTAAGGTGCACCTGACACAAACCATAGTATTTTCAGTCACCTCATATGCATGTGAGAGGTGGTCAATGAATAAGGAAGACCGAAGAAGAGTGAATGCTTTTTAGTTGTGGTGCTGGCGAAGAATGCGGAAAGTACCATGGATTGCTAAAAGAACTAACAAATCTGCCCTGGAGGAAGTGCAGCCAGCATGCTCCTTTGGAAGCGAGAATGGCCAGACTTCATCTCACCTACTTTGGTCATGTTATCAGAAGGGCCCATTTCCTGGAGAAGGATATCATGCTTGGTAAAGTGGAGGGACAGGGAAAGAGGGTAAGGCCCTCAAGAGATGGATTGACACAATGGCTACAATGATGGACTCAGGTATAGCAGGGATCATGGAGCTGGCACAAGACCAGGCAGTGTTTCGTTCTGCTGTACATTGGGTTGCTATGAGTCGGAAATGACTTGATGGCACCTAACAACAACAACAAAGTCAGCACGTATAGGGACATAAGGACAGTCTGAGAAGAGCATTTTGGGGTTTGGCCTTCCTTTTATATATAGGAATATTAGAAATCATGGACTTCTATAGATGGTTTAATTTATTTTACTTTTACATCTTGATTACTCTCACTTTTACAACTTGATTACCCTACATCCTTTGATACTCTGCTTTTCTCTCTCGAGGCTTACATCCTAGCTAGGCCACACTTCAGAGTATCTGTGGATGGAAAATCACAGTGACGTTTCCTGGCATCACTTCTCCTGGAGAGGGGCCTTCTCTGATGGTTTTACCTTCTTGTCTTCTTATCTGCCCTCAGGTTCACCCAAGCAGCACTGACTATAACCTCATGTGGACAGGATCCCACCTGAAGCCCTTCTTACTTCGTACCCTCTCTGAAGCACAAAAGGTTAATCACTTCCCCAGGTAATACTGTTGTAACTAGTTTGCTCCACTTAAGGGTGCCTGGCATTGGTGTATGTAGCCAGCAGAGATAATATCATTAAAGGAAAAAAAAAAAGGAAATCTGTGATACAGGGGGACAGTCTGCAAATCAAACTGAGGTGTTCCTATCCCTGGTTATAGATGAAGACATTTCAAGGCTTTGTAGACATGGATGGTCATAAAGGAGACAAGTCCCATAAGTTCTCTTTCTTAAAATTGAGCTGCTTGAAAGTACCTGACATGAGTGGGTTCTGCTTTCTTACCTCCTTTTCACAGTTACTCTTTTTGTCTTTTATGAACGAATAATTGAATCTCAGTGGTGTCCATGAGTGTAAAAATTTTGAGAGATCCAAACAAACTTTATACAACAAAAATTAACGTCTAATTGGGTATCTAACAGCAAGGCAAATTATTTTTCTGTTCCTTTGCTTTTAACGGAATTGAAGGAGGACATAATCAAGTTGTCAGCTGATACATCATTAAATATAATTTTTAATGACAGATCATTTTGTGATTTTTGACATATAACTAGGAAAGAGGGCAAAAAATTGAGTATCATTGCTGTAGGAAACTCATTCTAGTCGCATCTCTTGATGGAGCCTAGATAGGCAGTAGGAGCCCTGACGTTGAAACAGTTAAGTGCTTGGCGGCTAACGGAAATGTCGGTTGTTTGGACCCACCCAGCACCTTCGTGGGAGAAGGACTGATGGATCTGCTCCTGTAAAAATTGCAGCCAAGAAAACCCTCTGAGGCAGTTGTACTCCATCACATGGGCTCACAATGAGTTGAAATTGACCTGATAGCACATAACAGCAACATTAACACATAGGCACTATTGCCTATTGGTTGTCGGCACAGACTGTGCAGCAAACTCCTAGGGCCCAGATCCTAGCTTCTTGGTGACCTTGAGCAAGTTAGTGATCCTTGCTGGGCATCGGTTTTCTCACTGGTGAAAGGAGGATGCTGATGGCACAACATCACCAGGCTGTTCTGAGGATTTAGTGTAAGGTGCTTAGGACAGTGCCTGCCATGTAGTAAGCACTGTTTGAGTGTTAGGTATTATTTCTCAGTGTTTACATCTGTAAAAAGGAGAACAAGAATAAAATTGTTGCTCAACTCTCATTCCAGCAATAAGTAATTTTGAGCTGTGGAGAATTCTATGACCTAATAGAGGGGGAAGCTAGTCTTACCTATTGAATGAAGAGATGCAAATCCAGTATAATGTTTTTCATTTGGTCAGTGGTTACATGTTATTTTATTTCCAGGACTTTGGTCCCATTTATGATTTGTGTCCCTTAGCTTTTCCTTATCTTAATTCCAATAAAATTTCTATTCTTATGCTTAATACATTTTAATCAAAATGTATAATATTTATGGTAGTAGTATACCTGCCATTATAATCTGTTTGTGTGTAAACAGTTACAACCTATGATCACAGGAAATTTTAAAAAGTATTATACAGTGAAACCTGTGAGAACTATAACTTGATGGGACTGCCTTGTTTTTCTGGGTCTTGTAAGTTTCCCCCCCTTTGACAGGATACAGCCTTACCACTTTTCTATTGCTAGTTTTTGTGGAAAATATTTGCATGTTCCTTGTCTGGCAGAGTTCTGCCTTACACGTGTTCTGGCTTTTCCCAGGTTTTATTACGTATCAATTTATATGCGTATTTTTGTTGTAGAGAAGGTATGTTATGATGTAAAAGATTTACAAGCATTAAATATCTTCTGTTAGGCTGGTCTCTTCTTTGGGGCAGTCCCTAGGTAGTACAGATGGTTTGTACTCAACTGCTAACCGAAAAGAATGGTGGCTCGAACCCACCCAGTGGCACTGCGGACGATGGGCAGCCTGATTAAGACCCTGTGGAGCAGTTGCTGTCTGCAACACAAGGGGTTGCCATCAGTCAGAATCAATGCATCTCAGCAGTGGTTTTGGTTTTGGTTTTTATTCCTTGATGGAAATGGAATGGAAGAATTAAAAAGGAGGGTGCTTGGGGCGATGATATCTGGGTTGGGGTATGAGGGAGGTTTCTGAGGTGCTGAGAGTGGTTTCTGTCTTCAGCTAAGTGATGATTACACATACAGGTGTATTCACTTTGTAAAAGTTTATCATGCTTTGTACTTGTGATTTGGGTACTTTTCTGTTTATATGTTAACTTCTGTAAAAAGTATACTAAAAAAGAAAAAATTACTAGAAAAACGTTTTTTCTTTAATAATGTTTTTTAAAAATGAATAGTGGTGGGTATTGAATCCTAGTGTTATTTAGAGTCCCTTGAATACACTTAGGAGCTCTGGTGCCTAATGCATTTGACTGTTAACTAGAAGGTTGGCAGTTCAAACCCACCAGCCGCTCCGTGGCAATCTACTTCCGTAAAGGTTTATGCCTCAGAAACCCAAAGGGGGTTGCTATGAGTCAGAGTCGACTCCATGGCAGTGAGTTTGGTTTTTTGGTTTTGAATTCACGTAAAAGTGTTCTGGGAACAGTTTTATATTTAAAACAATATTTTCCATTCATCAGATCCTTTGGATCAATTCATGATGAAAAATCTTAGATACCAACTAAAGCATGAAAGGGGATACATAGTTTCCCAAAAGTAATGTAAGTAGTACCAAGCAAAAAAGTGTGAAGACACATGTTGGGCATGTGTAGGAAAGTAAGTTTTTTTTCTTTTCTTCTGGTCCTGTGTTTCTTATTCCTTGATTTACCTGGTATATACCAGCATACATTCCTAATACAGGTAGTAATTATTACCCTGACTTTTAAGGTAATCATTTAATTTCTTTCAGCTTTTTATAGTGATTTGGGTGAAATTTTACAGAGCAGATTTGTTTTACACTCAACAGTTCATATACACATTTTGTTTTGTGACACTGGTTACATTCCCTGCAGTGTAACAACTCAATTCCCACTTCCTCCCTGTAGTTACTCTTTCCCTGTGTCCTTCTTACCTAGCATTCCTGCCTCCCTACCTTGCTCCCTGTGTGAGTGCTGCCTTCTGATCTGCCACGGTTGAGTGTTTTAAGGAGTGCATCTGCCTAGTGTAGGGGTTCACCTCTTATCCCTGTCTATTATTAGGCTGAGAGTTAAGCCACAGGAGTGAGTTCAATTTCAGGCCTGAAAAGTGATTCAGGGCCGTCATTTCAGGGATTTCACCAGTCTTTGTCAGACCAAGAAGCCTGGCCTTTTTTTGCAATTTTGAGTTTTGTTCCACATTTTTCTCCCACTCTGTCCAGGATCTCTAATTTTGATCCCTTTCTGAGTGGTTGGCATTGGTAGCTGGGCACCATCTAGTTCTGCTGGTCTTACAGGTTGAGGTTCTCATGGTCCATTCATCTATTTCCATGCGTCTCTGATTTTCTTAACTCCTCTTTGCTCCAGACAAGAGAAGCCAATAGTTGCCACTTAGATGGCTGCTCATAAGCTTTTAAGACCCCAGTCACTGTTTACCAAAGATGTAGAACAGTATTTTTGTATACCACGTTGTGCCAATGGAGCTTGATGTCCTTCATTACCACGGTCCCCGGCCCACAGGCCCAGTGACCTGCTCCCTTAAAGTGCTTATTTGTGGCTAAGAAGTTTGCCTCCTGTTATGTTTCACCTGCATGTGGACATTTTTATAGCATATACAAATACATATGTAGGAACATTGTCTGCCAAACATTTGTGTGGTCGTGGGTATATTCCCATTTGCCTATCCATGCCTGCTTTTCTTTATCATTTTACCTTTTACGTATCTATCTCTCAGTGATGTTGTTTAGGTCGCCATGGAGTTCTTAACATAGTGATCTGGGACTTTACAACAGTAGGGTCGTTATAGTGTAAAATTAAGGTCTGTTTTAGACCTTATGCAAGAGGGACATACCAGATCCTTGGTACTTATATCATCATTGTAAGTACCATGTAGTTAACCAAGAGGTTAGGCAATTATCGCTGTTATTAGGTCTGCAAATAAGGATCAAATCACCACAGTTTTCATTTTCTCCTGTTTTCAAATATGCTGACCTTTTTAAAAATTTTTTTTCCTGAGACAAAATTAAGACTTTTTATGAATTCTGATGTTTTAATACCAAAGTTTCTGAGTTCATCTGTATCTGTGCTTGCAATTAACCCAGAAATTTTTTGTCAGGCCAGTTGGACAGTCCTAACCTGTAGAGACCTGTTGATTAAAACTCCCAGAATGCTTTGAGTTTAGAACTGGTTATTCAGTATCCTGATGTTTTTCACTATTCAAATAATCCAGATTTTTTTTTTTTTTGTACTAAGAGGTCTGTAATTCAGTTAGAGTAACAGATATAGTGTTTCTAAAATATTTCTTAATGGCCTGTCATAGTGACTAGGCACAGGCTCCATTGATAAGGCTTTATAAGGCTAGTATTGTTTTCATGTAGCTTATTTTTTAGACCCTGATAATTTGAGTGTATTTATCAAAAGCCAAACTTAGAGCCTAGTGGGGTTTTTTTGTTTGTTTGTTTATATTTGAATTCTGTTTTAGAATGTATCAATATAAATTATTTGCAGAAGACTTAACAAAGGTATATTCTGTATCCAAGAAATATAATACAATATAACATTACGTGGTATAGTGTAGTAAACTCTCAAAACTCCATAATAAGAAACCGAACAGCTGAATTTAAAAAAAAAAAAAAAAAAAGCAAAGGGTTTGAACATACACTTCACCAAAGAAGATACAGGGGATGGCAAAGAAGCGCAGGAAAAGATGCACAGAGTCAGTAGTTATTTCTGGAAGGCAAATTAAAATCGTAATAAGGTATCACTTCGTACCTATTAGAATGACCAAACACAAACAAAAAACCCAGGCAGCACCGAATGCTGGGCAGATGCAGAACAAGTAGAACACTGATGTGCTACTGGTGTGAATGCTAAATGCATGGTACAGCCACTTTGGGTAACCATTTGGCAGTTTCTCATCAAGTGCAGAATAAACGTACGTGTTAGTTTTAAAATATGTCCATAAATTCTTTAACTCCCTTCAGAAAATTGCACTTAATTTCTCTGTTCTGGGGTATGGCCTGGGCTTAAGGACTTGCTTCCCACACATAGCATGTGGCAGCAGTGATGGTGTGCCACTTCGGAGACTAGGTCGGAAAGTGCTGTTGCAGCTTCTGTCTTCTCTCGGATCACCTGACCTGGGAGAAATGAACTGTTAGATCACAAGGGCACTCAGCGATAAGGAAAACTTCTCATGACATGATGTCTCCTGCTAGTAGCCCAGCACCAACTCGCCACAGAAAAACTGTGTATCATAGTAAATATTGTTACTCAAGTAGCTGTGTTTTAGAATAGTTTGTTATGTAGCAATAGATGACTAATACAGTGTAACATACAACCCAGCAATCCCACAGCTTGGTATTTGTCCAAGGGATGAAAACTGATGTCCATGCAAAAAACCTGTATGCAAATGCTTATAATGACTTTATTCATAATCCCCCCAAATTGGAAACCATTCAGATATTCTTCAGCTAGTGAATGGATAAACAAACTGTGGTACACCCACACCATGGATTGCTACTGAGAAGTAAAACAACAAAATACTGAAACATGCAACAACAACGATCAATCTCCAGTGCATTGTACTCAGTGAAAGATGCTGGTCTCAAAAGGGTACATACTGTGTGATTCCATTTATTTGACTTTCTGGAAAAAGCCAAACTGTAAGGACAGAAAACGACCAGAGTTTGGAAGGGTTGACTACAAGGAGACATAAGGTAACTACCATGTTGAACTGTTCTCTATCTTAATGGTGGTGATGGGGTTACTTAGCTGTATGTGTTTGTTCAAACTCATAGAATTTTACACTAAAAAGGGTGAATTTTACTGTATAAATTATAACTTAATAAATCCATTTATGAAAACAACTAATAAGCATTTTGGTATAGGATACTGCCTTCAGTAAGTGCTCTGGAACCATGAACTGTGGACTCCTTAGCATGTGGTAATGCCAGAAAATCTGAGTCATGGTCTACTGAAATGGAAATATTTGTGTCATTATTATTTACTTAGGTCGTATGAACTAACCCGGAAGGACCGACTGTACAAAAACATCATTCGAATGCAGCACACACATGGATTTAAGGCTTTTCACATCCTGCCTCAGACCTTCCTCCTTCCAGCTGAGTATGCGGAATTCTGTAGTAAGTGCTTGACTGGGAATTGTAGCCCCCACAGCTGAAACTGTGGCACATTCACTCCAGGAGCTGCTTCGGTCAGCAACCAGTTAGGGCTTTAAAAATCTTTAAAAAATTGTCATTCTCTATTGAAATGGTTGCGGAGATAACTTTCAAACTCTGTGTTTATTTTGATGGTTTACTCTTAGAAAGCACGTCAGTATCATTTATGGAAGGACACATTAGTGTCATATAAACATGCCTTTGTCTTGGTATACTTTTGCTTGGATGTCTCTTCTCTTCATTGACCAGAGTTAGTACCTGTGCCAGGACTCCGTACACTTCTGCATATGACTGGTATATCCTTGCTTCTTGTGTCTTCTTTGCATTTGCCATTTGAGGAACATTCCTGTCATCTTGATTGCTTGACCTGTGTGATTTATGTTCTTTGGGGTCTGAGTATCATGTATCTTTTGGTGTTAGAGTTTGGAGGTGCCAGTTAGTCACACCTTCCTTTGAGTTCAGACTAAATGGAAATACACATGGTGGCCAAATAGATATCTAAGTGTTGGCTGTGTGGCTGTAACACTAAATAGGAACACAGGGCCTGGAGCCAGGTCTAAAGTGGGCAGTTTATTTCTTTTCCCTTGATATAAACTTACTTACTCAGGTCCAGGCAGAGGACCTGGGCACTTTCAGGCTTCTTTCCTTTGGGGCAGAGCCTGACTCAGTTGACTTAATGCCCTGAAGAGGCAGGCGTACACAGAAAATATGTGGTCTGAGGGGAGGCAGGTCTTTTGTGAGAGTCTAAATGGTAATATTAAGAGCTAACACTCAGTGAATATTTACTTTTATTAAACATTCTTCTGAGTGCTACTCTGAGATTAAAAAACAAAAACAAAACAAAAAAAAACCGAGTGCCTTTGAGTTGATTTCAACTCATGGTGGCCCCATGTGTGTCAGAATAGAGCTGTGCTCCACGGGCCTTTCAGTGGCTGATTTTTCAGAGGTTGGTTGTCAGGCCTTTCTTCTGAGGTACTTCTGGGTGGACTTGAATTACCAACCTTTTGGTTGGCAGTTAGCTTGGTAACTGTTTACACCACTGAGGAATTCTCACTCTACAAGATAGGTACTATTATTACCCTCACTTTTACAGATGAGAAGACTAAAGTACAGAGAGGTTATGAAACTTTCCATAAGTTATGGAGCTTGCAAATGGTAGACTTGGGATTCAAACCCAGGCAGTTTGGTTTCAAAGACCATACTCTTCACTGCTGTGCTTTTTTGCCAAAGACACTGGGCATTGCATATGTAATGACTGTACAGCCAGTGAGAGAAGTCACTTCTCCCATAAGGAGCACCAGGTGAGACAGAGAGAGCAGACACACCATTATTTTCTCCATAAGTCCCAGAGACAGACTATTCCTATTGTATAGGTAGAGGAAGTGACATGGAAAGAGTTCTCCCTAGACTTCCTGAGTTTTGGTTCTTTTAACCTCTTGGGCTTAACAGTGTGATCTGGTCACCCAGTGGCATGTTCATTCCTGGAGAAGGGGCCTCCTGCTTCCCTCTGAGGCTATTCCTCTGACAGAATGTGCTGCTCCAGCTAAGATGGTTCAGTGTTTGCCCACAGAAATCTCCAAGATGGGTCAGAATAGAGCATTAATTTAAATGTTTACTTCAAAGCTCTAGTGCACTCCTTGTTGAAAATTTGTAGTTAAGAATTTTTGCTACGTGACTTCAGCCAAGTTACTTATCCTCCGTGTGCCTTAGCTTCCTCATCTGTGAAGTTGGACTGTATATAATGTAGGACTAGCATGGACCTGACAGTGTTGTCAGGATATCTGTCTCAGTTTCCTAGGGCTGCCATTAAAAAAAAAAAAAAGAGTGGCTTGAAAGAAGAGAAACTTATTTTCTCACTGTTCTGGAGGCTAGAAGTTTAAGTGAGAATCTCGGCCATGTTGATTACTTATGGGGGTCTTGACAGTACTCGTTGCATGCCTCTCTCTTAGTCTCTGGTGGCTGCCAACAATCCTTGGTGTCCCTTTGCTGTTTATGGGTGCATCTGCCTCTGTTGTCACCTGGTGTGTGTCTTCCCTGCATGTGGCTCTGTCTCAGTGTCTGTCCTTCTCTTTAATAAGACAACACTCAGGAGGGATTGGGGTTAGAACTCACCCTACCCTGGTATGACTTCATTACCTAATCACATCTATAAAGAAAAACGCTGTTTTCCCAGATAAGGTTGCATTCACCATTGCCGGAGCCGGGACTTCAACACAGCTTTTGAGGGATAAAATTCAATGTATAACAATGTTTAAATAGGTTAATATATGGAAAGCACTTGGAATGGTACCTGATACGTGCTTAATAAATGCATGGACTTGATTGGTTTTTCTACACTAATCTATTCCTTCCCCGTTTCTCTTCTTGCAAAGAAGAAAAATCAAGAAAAAATAAATATCCTAATCTTCATTTTGGTCTGTCTATCTATCTCTCTAGGAGCTCTGGTAGCATAGTGGCTAAGGCACTTGACTGCTAACCAGAAGGCTGGCGGTTCAAACCCACCAGCCACTCCTCGGAAGGAAGGTTGGGCATTCCTACTTCCGTAGTGATACTGCCTCGGAAACCCAAGGAGGGGTCGCTATGAGTCGGGGACGACTCGATGGCAAACAACAACAACAACAACATCTATCTCTCTATCTATCCATCTAATCTAGCCATCTATCCTACTTTGAAATAGCAGCCCTGTCTTCTGTCCCTACTTCTCTCCAGTGTCCTCCAGACATTCCCTAAGTGGGAGGCAGAGCACTTCTCTGCTGCTCCCCAGAGAACCTGCAAGCCTGTGGGGAGTCTTAGCATCAGTTGCCTGATCTCTCTTCCCATGAACCAAAGGGATTTAAAGCATAAACCTTAACCTCGCAAATGAACAGAAAGTAAATGTTGTTGTTGGGTGTCGTCAAGTCATCTCTGACTCATAGAGACCCTGTGCACAGCAGAACGAAACACTGCCCAGTCCCGTGTCAGCTCCTCGATCCTTGCTATACTTGAGCCCATCATAGCAGTCACTGTGTCAGTCCATCTCGTTGAGGGCCTTCCCCTCTTTCGTCGACCCTCCACCTTACCAAGCATGACATCCTTCTCCAGGGAGTGGTCACTTCTGACATCGTGACCAAAGTAGGTAGACAAAGTCTGGCCATTCTCACTTCCAAGGAGCATTCTGGCTGCACTTCCTCCAGGACAGATCTGTTAGTTCTTTTAGCAGTCCATGGTACATTCAATATTCTTTGCCAGCACCACAACTCAAAAGCATCAGTTCTTCTTCGGTCTTCCTTATTCATTGTCCAGCTCTCACATGCATATGAGGTGATTAAAAATATCATGGCTTATATCAGGTGCAACTTAGTCCTCAAGGAGACATCTTTGCTCCTCAGCACTTGAAAGAGGTCCTTTGCAGCCGACTTGCCCAGTGCTATACATTGTCTGATGTCCTGACTGTTTCTTCCGTTGGTGTCGATTGTAGAACAAGCAATGTGAAGTTTTTGACAACTTCAATCTTTTCTCCATTTATCCTGATGCTACTTATAGGTCCAGTTGTGAGAATTTTGTTTTCTTTATATTGAGGTATAATCCATACTGCAGACTGTAAGTCTTCTATCTTCATCAGTAAGTGCTTCAAGTCATCCTCACTTTCAGCAACTAAAGTTGTGGCATCAGCATATTGCAGGTTGTTAATGAGCCTTCCTGCAATCCTGATGCCACGTTCTTCTTCATATAGTCCAGCTTCTCGGATTATTTGCTCAGCATCTAGATTAAATAAGTATGGTGAAAGGATACAACCCTGACGCACTCCCTTCTTGATTTTAAACCAGTGTCCCCTTGTTCTGTGTGAACGACAGCTTCCTGGTCTATGTACAGGTTCCTCATGAGTACAATTAAGTATTCTAGAATTCCCATTCTTCTCAATGTTATCCACAGTTTGTTATGATCCATGTAGTCAAATGCTTTTGTATAGTCAATAAAACACAAGTAAACATCTTTCTGGTATTCTTTGCCTTGAGCCAAGATCCATCTGACAACAGCTTGTTATTCCTTGTTCCACATCCTCTTCTGAATCCAGCTTGCACCTTTGGAAATTCTCTGTCAATATACTACTGCAACCATTTTTGAATTATCTTCAGTATGATTTTACTTGCGTGCGATATTAATGATACTGTTCGATAATTTCCACATTCTGTGGGATCACCTTTCTTTGGAATGAGTAGAAATATGTATCTGTTCCAGTCATTTGACCAGGTAGCTGTCTTCCAAATCTCTTGGCATAACTGAGTGAGTGCCTCCAGTGGAGCATCTGTTTGTTGAAACCTCTCAATGGGTATTCTGTCAATTCCTGGAGCCTTGTTCTTCACCACTTCCTTCAGTGCAGCTTTGACTTCTTCTTTCAATACCATTGGTTCTTGATCACAAGCCACCTCCTCAATTGAATGAATACCGACCAGTTCCTTTTGGTGTGGTGACTCGTGTATTCCTTCCGTCTTCTTTTGATGCTTCCTGTGTCATTCAATATTTTACCCATAGAATTTTTCAGTATTGCAACTTGAGGCTTAAATGTTTCCTCAGTTCTTTCAGCTTGAGAAATGCAGAGCATGTTCTTCCCTTCTGGTTTTCTAACTCCAGGTCTTTACACATTTTATTATAGTAATTGGTTTTGTCTGCTCGAGCTGCTCTTTGAAATCTTCTGTTCAGCTCTTTTATCTTGTCATTTTTTCCATTTGCTTTAAGTACTCTCCACTCAAGGGCAAGTTTCAGAGTGTCTTCTGACATTCATTTTGGTCTTTTCTTCTTTTCTCGTCTTTTTAATGACCTGTTGCTTTCTTCATGAGTGATGTTCTTGATGTCATCCCACAGTTCTTCTGGTTTTCGGTCATTGGTGTTTAGTGCATCAGATCTATTCTTTAGATGGTCTCTGACTTCAGGAGGAATATATTCAAGGTCATATTTTGGCTCTCATGGATTTGTTTAATTGTCTTCAACTTCAAGTTGAAATTGCATATGAGCAGTTGATGGTTTGTTCCACAATCAGCTCCTGGCCTTGTTTTGAGCTTTTCCATCGCCTCTTACCACAGATATAGTTAGTCAGCCTGAATCCTATGTACTCCATCTGGCGACGTCCATGTGTATAGCCATCTTTTGTGTTGTTGAAAAAAATATTTGCAATGAATAAGTTGTTGGTCTTGAAAAAGTCTATCATGTGATCTCCAGTATTATTTCTGTCACTAAGGCCAAATTTTCCAACTACTGGTTATTCTTCTTTGTTTCCCACTTTTGCATTCCAGTCACCAGTGATAATTAACACATTTTGATTGTATGTTTGGTCAATTTCAGGCTGCAGAAGTTGATAAAAATCTTCAATTTCCTCAGTCAATTGAAATTTACTGTAAATGCCACCTTTTAATCACTTATAAATTATTATCTTGCCTCTCCACTTGGATATTGTTTGATTTGTAGTAATATTTCCCTGTAAGTGCTGAGGAGGTCCTTCAGTTAAGGTGGTGAGCCTGTGCACGCTGCTAGGTGAACAGCAGACATTTGCCTTATTTTGTTTTCATCCTCATTCAAGTATATCAAGAAGGATGATGGTGGAAGAAGTCATGTAAGATTGTGCTGTCCTCTTTCTTCTTCTCTCTGTGCTTTTGTTTTAAGGCTAGTCTAAAAAACACAGAGGCTCTGGTGGCGTAGTGCCTAAGGCACTTGACTGCTGAAAAGAAGGCTGGTGGTTCAAACCCACCAGCCACTTCTCGGAAGAAAGATTGGGCAATCTACTTCCATAGAGTTACCACCTCGGAAACCCAAGGAGGGATTGCTATGAGTTGGATCCAAGTCGATGACAATGAGTTTTGTTTTTTTGTTTTTTGTTCTTCATTTAAGGAACTCTGGTTTCATAGAGCCTAGGGCATTTGACTGCTAACCAGAAGGTTGGTGGTTCAAACCCACCAACCATTCCGTGGAAGGAAGACTGGGCAATCTACTTCCATGCAGATATACTGCCTCAGAAACCCAATGGGGGTTGCTATGAGTCGTAGTTGACTCGATGGCAGTGAGTTCGTTTTTTTCCTTTGTTCTTCATTTAGAAATTTGGAAGATTCTTTGAGAACCTGAATACATAATCATTGCTGTAATTTAAGATAATAAAGTCATGTCCTTTCTTTCTTTTTGTTTCTTCTCCCCTCTTTTCTTCCTCCTCATATTTGGAGCAGATTCATATTCAAAGGACCGGGGACCTTGGATAGTAAAACCAGTGGCTTCCTCTAGGGGGCGCGGCGTCTACCTGATCAACAATGTAAGTACGCAGCAGAGGGCCGACCTCTCTCCTTGTTTGTTCCCTGCTTCACTCTTGTCTGTGTTACTAATGTGGTCCCTTCCATTAAGAGCAGGTGTTCCCCTTCTGAATGTGAGTTGAGGGTGGATATGAGGGGACTACTGTTCACTTTATTGACAGAAAGCTCCTCCTATGCCAATAGTTACTCTGTGGCTAAAAAGTCACTGAACCAAATTTTGGGAGCGGGCAGCCTTTAGTGTCAGCAGATAAAGAGATGCATACTCTGTTTTTAGTATACTTTTGTAATTCTTTAGCACTAAGTATTAATTAAGTAGTCCTGATGGTACAATGGTTAAGTGCTTGGCTGCTAACCAAAAGGTTGGTGGTTCATACCTACCCAGTGGTTCTTCAGGAAAAAAGACCTGATGCTCTGCTCCCATCAAGATGATAGCCTAGAAAACCCTGTGGGGCAGTTCTGCTCTGTGACATGAGTTGCTGTGAGTCAGAATCGACTTGATTGCACCTAACAACAAGCATTAATTGGTGGCATATGTGGTTAGTGCCTGCTGTGGGCAGAACTGTGTGTTCCTTACCTCAAGGTAATGAAGCGAATCACCTCAATTTGTGTGGCATTCTTGCTGCTGCTGTATCAGCTCTGCGTCTAAGCTGTTTCTCCTTCCTTCCTACCTCCTCCTCTTTTTTTCAAAAGCCATCAATATTTTTTTTCATCCTTTGCAAAATCCTCCTTAACAGTTGTTTTAAAATTGGATACATACACAGAGTAAATAAAAACCCATCCTCAGTCTCATCCTGTAGATGTATAACACTGGTTAGTAACTGCATATAGTTAATTTATGTTTCTTCTTTTTTCCACCTTTACATTGTATCTATAGGTTTTCAGCTTGAGGTTTATTGCATTCTTACCACCTCCTACCTTCCCTTTCACTTTCCATCTCTTGAGTTTGATTACCAAAAAAACCAAACTCACTGCCGTTGAGTCAGTTCCAACTCACAGCAACCCCTCCTTCGGTTTCCAAGGTGGTATCACTACCTGGAAGTAGATTGTCCAGTCTTTCTTCCAAAGAGTGGCTGGTGGGTTTGAACTGCCAGCCTTCTGGTTGGCAATCTTAGCCTTAGCTTTAGGCACTATACCACCAGAGCCCCTTTAGTTTGATTAGTGTTTAATATTTTTCTGGGGTGAACACTTACATTCTCTTCAATAAGAGATTCCATTTCTCTGCATTATCTATGTTGTTGTTATGTGCTGTCGAGTCGGACCTGACTGATAGCAACCCCTCCTTGGGTTTCCAAGGTGATATCACTATGGAAGTACATTGCCCAACCTTCCTTCTGAGGAGTGGCTGGTGGGTTTGAACTGCCAGCCTTCTGGCATTATCTATAGTTTGAATTAAAAAAAAAAATTAAACTCGGCAGAAGCAGGCTTTAAAACATTGGGATTCTGAAAAGTAACCAGTATATGAGCCTAGATCTTTTTTTTTTTTTTTTTTAATTCTTTCTCTTGGATATTTAGGGTCCCCTTCAGTTTGAAAACTAGTGTTTCTCTTTGGTTCAGAGAAAATTACCCTCGTATCATCTCTGTCTCTGCTTTTAGAACCCCTTTTTGAGGTGTTCTGGGCCTTGCCTTCGTGCCACCTTCTCTTTTCTTTATTCTGTGTCTTTTCTGCACCTTTCTCTGTGGGTCACCAGTTTGAGCATCATCTGTTCTGTCATTCATCCATCTTTAACGGTGGGTGTGCATTGGCTGTCGTATTATAGTTTCCAGAAACTCGCACACTCTGATTGGCCTTATTTTATTTTTTAAATAACAGCCTACCGATCTTTCTGAGGACACCCATTGAAATTTTTTAAACTTATCTTCTGTTTCTTGAATTTTCTTGGTTTCATCCAGACTAAGTTCTGTTCATTCATCATAGACCTTTTCTGTCCCCCTGGATTTTCTTCCCTTGCTTTTGGATTTTCTCAATTTTGATGGTCCTCACTCAGGTGATGGATCACATTTACCAGCAGAAGACTGGGCTGATTGAAATTGGCAGCTGGCCCAGGTTTCCCCTGCTGTTTGGCAGGACTGCGTTCCTGACTGAGTTTTGTATGAAAGCAAAGTATGTTGACTGCCAGGCTTCACTTTTGGTGGATGTGAGTGAGGAGCGTGCTCCCTTCCATCTTGAGGAAACAGCGAGGGCCCTCTGTGCTCCCCCTCTTAGGAACACTGGAAGACCTGCCTTTCTTCTGTCTTGTCCCCTTTGTGTCTGCGGAGAGATAGACCAACCTCAGGTTCCACTCTTCTGAGTTCTCTATGGCCACATACGATGTCTTCCTCAGAGCACTTGCCTTAGGTTTTATCCTGAGGGCACAAACTTCTGTTTTGGGTGTTAGAGAGGGCCTGCTGCCCTTGCTGCTCCAAATGCTGTTGGCTGGTGATTATCTGAGTCTTGTTCTTTGGCCCACTTGTGCCCTTCAGGTTTGTCATGTGCCAGCTCGGAGCTTTGCAGGGCCTCCCAGGGAATATCGCTCTTGCCTCTGAGGTTTTGGGCTGAGGCTTTTCTCTGCTGTGTTTCTCAGCCTGATCCCATCTACTTTCTATCATTTAGGATTTCCTTAAACTTTTGGTCTGTTGCTGGCTCTTTAACTGTTTTCTTGCATTGTTATCATTTCAGTCTTTTACAAATATCTTTTCTGTCCTTTTAGTGGAACTCAGGAAGGGAAAGGGGAAGGTAGATACGTTGTGTGTGGGTGGGGTCACACTCCATCTTAAATTCCCCGCGTCTTTCTTCACATTGTCTGAGCTATTTCTTGTATGTGCAGAAACTACCTGAGGGGTTTTTCACATTGAAAAACCCTAAAGTTCAGTCTGGACTTAAAAGTGTACCATCAGTACTGATAGCCAGACCTTTCATGCTCAATAAATATGGGATATGGTTCTGCCATGGCAGCTCCCGTAGCTCTGGGCCCAAGCTGCATGTCCTATTACCTGGCCCTGGGTCACGCTAGAGGCCTTTACCTGGGTCTCGTGTGACGTAGGCCCTAGTCATATGCCTTTTCTTGTCTCTGCTCTGACTTTGGCATGAAGGCTCGTGTCCAAAAGCGTTTGCTTCAGCTGTGTGCCAGGAGCGCCGGTGTTGTTTGACCCTTGTAGGCGGTGCTGGTTTGGGTTTAGGTTTTAGTTGCCAAATGGAATTGCTGTTGAGAGTCAACTGTGGTAGAAGGTTTGCTTTTTATTTTCTTAGACTTGAGTCAAGAAAATAGGATCTATTCCCAGCTTATCTGGAACTTCTTTCCTTACGGGATACTTTTTTGCCCTAATGATGTATTATTTTAAAACCAACACCATAAAGAATAGAAACTAAACTTTCCTTGGTGGGGCTGTGAACCCTGTGCCCTAAGTCCTCACTGGCTGCCAACCCCCCTAAAGGTGACAGGTCTTTGGAGAATGCAACTGTTGGTAAGAGTCTCTTTGTCCCTCCCACCTTTCCCTGCACTGAATCTCTAGAGACCCCCTGCATGGATCAAAGGCCTTGGCAGGACCCTTTGCTCCCCTGCCCCCATCCCCCAGGAAGCTTTGGAATGAGTCTGATTCTTTCAGGTATTTGGTGGAGGTGCCAGACAGAAGCCTGGGAAGATGCCAGCAGGCATGAGGGGAGCCAGCAATATGTGGACATAACAGGAAAATATTCCCATTTTTCCCCAAAATGGGAATTTTATCACCTTTTACCCAGACCCACAAACCTTATAGTTAATACTCTTTACTCTCCTTACACAGAAGGCCTAACCATCCCCTTTTTTCCATACCTGGATCCTTTCCCATGGAATATGTGACCCATTAGCCAACTGGATGAAGTAACTCTTTCCAAGGCCGCTGCCTGCTTTCCTTTAGATTTGAGGGGGAGGGAGAGGGACTGCTTGAGCAGAGGGTCTGTAAGCAGAACTAATGGGAGTGTGCAAGGGCTGGGGTACAGGGGAGGGAGGAGGTAGAGTTAGGTGTAGGGGCCAAATGAAAACATCTTTCCTAGTGTTCCCATGGAGTCAGAGGGCCTCTTATTAAAAGTTCCCTGTAATAGCCATAACCTTTTAGAAAATGTCTGCAAGTAGGAACTTTTACCGTTACGAGACAGGGTGAGGAGAGAAAAAGTATTCCTTTTATGTAATAATGAAGAGAGAAGTGGGGGCTCCTGCCAACGGGAACATCCCCGTTAGTTGGCCAATATGGTCTTTTAATGATGTGCTCTTTAACTGTCGAAATACGGCCGCAAGGAACAGAGCTGTGTCTGCTCCAGCTCCTTCAGTTACCGTGACTAAATGCCGTATTTTCCCAATTTAGTAGGTTCAAATCGAGGAGGGGAAAGAGCTGATGTTTTCTGATTAAGGTATGAATTTGATTATGGAAGTCAAATTTAGTCATCCTTGTCTCACACATTATTCATGGTAAACACAGTATGAATATTTTCCCTGAGATTTTCAAAGTACCAGGAGAATGCTAGATCACTCTCTTCACTCCTGTACTTGTGAATAATTCTATACAACTTTCTTATTCCTTCTTATTTCTATATTTTATGTCATGTGCTCTCTATTTTTCCCATTATTCAGCTCATATTTAGATAGCACCTACCATGTGCCAGGTACTGTCACTCTCTTAAACCTTTTGAGGAATAGGGACTGTCTCCTAGTTTTTAAGTATCTCCATTATAACTCAATGTACTATTCTGAGTAGAAGGGCATATGACATGTAGTGAATTCTGTTGACTTATGGAATTTGGCAATTAGAACCATACAGGTACTATTGATTTTGCAATACTTCATAGTAATAGCTGATATTTCTTGAGCATTTAATATATGTGTACTACTGTGCCTTCCAAATACTGTCTTATTTAATCTTTATAACAACTTTTTGAGATAGGTATTGTTATTATTTCCTTACTAAGTGGTACAGTCAAGATTGTAACTCAGGTCTAGTTGAATCCAAATTTTTAAAATATTTTTTGTTAGTGTTGAGAATATACATAGCAAAACATGCACCAGTTTAGCAGTTTCTCCATGTACAATTCGGTGATGTTGGTGACATTCTTTGAGTTGTCGAACCATTCTCAGTCTCCTTTTCTGAGTTGTTCCTCTCCTCCTCACATAAACTCACTGCTCCCTAAGGTTCCCATCTAATCTTTCGAGTTACTGTTGTCAGTTTCATCTCCTCTAGATAGATCTGGGAGCTCTGGTACTGTAGTACCTAAGGCATTTGGCTGCTAATCAGAAGGCTGGCGGTTCAAACCCACCAGCCATGCCTTGGTAGGAAGATTGGGCAAACTTCTTCCATAGTGAGACTACCATGGAAACCCAAGGAGGGGTCGCTATGAGTTGGATCCGACTTGACAGCAGAGAGAGAGTAAGTAAGTGAGTTACAGATAGATCTTAAGAAAGCATAATGCTCAAGGCAGACATTCTTTACTACCTCAGTTAAACTATCATTGGTTTTAAGACAACTTCAGGGGATGTTTTTGGTTTAAAGATTATCTCAGGACAGTGGTTTCAGGGGTTCATCCAGCCTCCATGGCTCCAGAAATTGTGGATTCTGTGAGAATTTGAAATTCTGTTCTGTATATTCCCTCTTTTGAGAATCTTATATAATCTTTGACCAAAATGTTCAGTAAAGGTAGCTGGGCACCAATTAGCTCTTCTGGTCTCCTGGCAAAGGAGGCAGTTGTTTGTGGAGGCATTTAGCCACACATTGCATTTCCTCCTCCTGTTCCTCACTCTCCTTCTGTTGCTCCTAGCAAATAAGAGACTAGTTGCTATTCTTTGGATGGCCTCTTGCAAGCTTTTAAGACCCCAGCACTCTGCAGTGAACTGGGAGGTAGAAAGAAGCTCTAAACATGTTCTTAGCCAGTTAATTGGGATGTCCCCTGACACTATGACCCTAAACCTTCAAATCAAGGAACCAATTTCCATGATTTGTTTGATTGTACATAAGCAGCCTCAGCTACTATTCTTTTTTCTTGTCATTGTTATAAATATATCTATCACACACCTTTTCAGAGTGTGCACTCTTAGTCAGTGTACCATTCTACCTTACAGTAAGTTAACAGATACCATGAGCTTTCACCCTAAGGTCCATTAGAAAGATGGATGTGTTTCCAACTTTCCCAGCTATTCAGATTTTTGTTTTAGGATGCTTTGGAAGGTTATTTGAGCTTAATTAACCCAATTAACTTGAGTTAAGTGGGATTGATGAAAAGGAAACATGTTTGTGGATATCAAAAACCTTTCATTAGATGCCCATTGGTGTATATAGCACTATACAAAGAAACTATACCCAAACCATGTTTTTCTTCAGTGAGCTTACAGTTCGATTCTAATGCAGATAGAAATGAGAGCTCCAGACATCTGAACAAATACTAAAAGTACCTGAATAATTTGAAGGATTATACTATGCTTCACTGAAGGATAAATGCAATGAGGCGAGAAGAGAGGAAGTAGACATGGGCATGCAGTGTGTCATGGAGTGAAGCCCACCACATTGTTTTTTCACTGTCACGGAGGAAAGTTGGTCTCATAGCCGTTGTAGTTTGTAGATGTTACTCAGTAAGAAAAAAGCCATGGTGGTTTCATTTCAGGTTTGGAACATAGCCTGCTCCTTATTTCTTTGTACTGTGAATTGCAGCAGTTCTCACACACTAAGCTGGCTCCAGATGGAGACAGGATTTGTGAGAAACTGATCAAGAAATGTAAGGGAGTCAGGAAATGATGTTGGTCATTGAGTCGATGAGGGTGTGAATCAGTGCTGTGTCATAGTGATCGCATGATGTGTGGAGACGTGTGGTAGCGGTGGGGCTCTGACTCCGAGACGGCAGCAGTGGGAGATGACGGGAACCTGATGCTCTTGTCTCCAGAGTTGCTTGTCATGGTTGTGCATAATGTTATGGGTCCCAAAATGTTCCTTATTTTTATGAACAAGTATTTGAGGTAGCAGATACATTATTACAATTAAATGGGGAAAGTTGTTTTAGGTCACAATTTTGGGGAGAGGTGTGAATAAATAGTGCTTTAGAGTGAAGCCTCTACTACCAAGTCCAAATGCTACTCTGTTACTTATTAGCTGTGTGACTTTGAACAGGTTTCTAACCCTCTCTGATCCTTTCCTCATCTGTGAAATGTAGATGATGATATACCTAGCTCATGGGATTGGATGAGGATTAAATAAAAAACTACTTGTGAAGCACTTAGAATAGTGCCTGGCACACAGTACATTGGTTCAATTTTAAGTGGTGTCTCTGGAAATGTTAGTAGTTATTTCTATTGCTGCTAATATAACTGTTGTCATAATTATTGTCCTTCCACTTCTTTTGTGGAGTCCTTTTAGCCTGTGTGGATTGTGATAACTTCCAGCTGATTTCCCTTTCTTAGTCTAATCTCACATAAAGTTGTTCTATTTCAGATATTAAATCCATGGTAGCTTCCTGCTTCCCACCATGTTGAATGTTAAACTGCCCTTTTCTTGCCAGGGCTTCAAGTCCCTTTGCCAATGAGATCCCTCCCTCCTAGGTGTCCAACCATGCCTTTCATTGTTTCCTGATTCCATCTTCTAATCCCGGTCAGTGAATCTGCCCACCCTCTTTCTACTGGACCTCGTGCGACAGTCTTTCCCACTGTGTTGGCCTTCTGTCCTTCCCACCACGTGCTTGAGAGCTTGCAACATTTGCTTCTGCACCTGCTGTTCCAGGCCAGGCCTTTCCTGACTGATCCCACCTGACATCTTGCTGCTTTGTATTCTTTTAAAATCATGTATTTTGCTGTCTCTCTTCCTAAATAAATGCTTTGGGGTTAGGGACTACTGAATTTTAAGCTCTGTGAGTGTAGGGATTGTATCTGTTTAGTCTTTACTACTGTCTCAGTGCCTTGTATATCATCCATTTATTTATTGTATAAGCTCATAATTATCTATTGTGTACCCATTGCCATCGAGTTGATCCCGACTCACAGCGACCCCTGTTGGGTTTCCCAGGCAGTAGATCTTTACGGAAGTAGGTTGCCCTGTCTTCCTTCTGCAGAGTGGCTGGTAGGGTTGAACCACCAACTTCTGGGTAGCGGTCAGATGCCTTAGGCACTGTGCCACCAGAGCTCTTAGTTATTGTATGTTGTTGTTGTTGTTGTTATATGCCGTTGAGTCAGCCCCGACTCATAACGACCCCTCCTTGGGTTTCCGAGGCAGTATCACTACGGAAGTAGGATTGTCCAACCTTCCTTCCGAGGAGTGGCTGGTGGGTTTGAACTGCCAGCCTTCTGGTTAGCAGTCAAGTGCCTTAGGCACTATGCTACCAGAGCTCCTTAGTTATTGTATAAGTACTCATAATTATTTATTGTTTAAGCATCTTTTTTTTTTTTTTTTAAAGTGTTTATAAGCTCTAGCTCAGTTTTTTGCACACAGTTGCATAGCAAGCACCCTTGAATAAGTCAGTGGATTACCCATCCCACTTCACAGAAAGAATGCTAGCATCCATTGTGGAGGAATCTGTGATGTTCCCCAAGTGTTGGATGAGAGCCTTCATTTATGAGTAATAGTACTATTTTAAATTTTTTGTCATACTTTACATTTGAGAGAAAGCAAAATTTTTAATTTTTAAGTAACTTTTATTTTCTTGGCACATAACTATATAAAGTATCATGGATTTAGATCTTTAAAGCTGTTTAGACCCTATTATTTAAGAGGTGCTCTATACATTTATTTTTCCTCCATTGTAATTGGATACCCACAGTGTTTATGGAGATGGCATGTTATGTGGCCAGTTGAATATACAGGTAATGTAGAAGAAAACTTTTCCTAGCGTTTATAGTTTTCCATATTATCTTTTCTTAAAAGATGAAGAATTTTGCTGTTTTTATAAGTTAGGATTGATTCCTTTACATTTCTATCCTTTCATTTTCTTTGTTCAATAGCCAAACCAGATTTCCCTGGAAGAGAACATCCTGGTCTCCCGTTACATCAACAACCCCCTGCTCATAGATGGTGAGTTGTGATTAGGCTCTTGACTAGTTTGGCCTAGATCCTGCTACACTTTGTAACATTTTCTTAGTCTTCTCTAGTAAGCCTTTATTAAGCTAGTGTGAAATTCTTGGCAATTATGGCTCCAGAGATAGACTGGTTCCTTATCTGCCTCACAGGATTATTTTGAAAAGGAAATTAGAGAATAGAAGAGAAAGTGCTTTATAAATTAAATAGTTATATATGTCTGTGTTGTATGTGTGTGTATAAACTGGGAGCTCTGGTGGTGTAGTGCCTAAGGCATTTGACTGCTAACCAGAAGGCTGGCAGTTCAGCATTTATATATATATATACATAAAATATAGTTATTATCTTCTCTGTATATATGACGTACAATTATTTTTTATTCTCAGAAGGCAAGGTATATAGGCATTGGGTGTTTCATGGAGAAAGGAGGCTGTCCTTTCTTTCTTAATTCTTTGTCATAATGTCTTTTTTAAGGAGCTCTGGTGATAGAGTGAGTAAAGCATTTGGCTGCTAACTGTAAGGTCACAGTTCAAACCCAGCAGCTGCCCTGCAGTAAGAAGATGAGGCAATCTGCTGCAGTAAAGATTTACAGCCTTGGAAATCCTGTCAGGGTCATGATGAGTTGGAATCAACTTGATGGCAGTGTGGGCTGTAACAGAAACAAATGCACTGAGTCTTCCCTGCGAATCCCCTGTTTTTCTAGATTTCAAGTTTGATGTGCGCCTCTACGTGCTGGTGACTTCCTATGACCCTCTTGTTGTCTATCTCTATGAAGAAGGGTTGGCCAGGTAAGAGCCTGGGGCACGGGGGAGTATCTTAGCGTGAATCCATTTAAGAATTTATTAAGATTAGGTCATCTTTTTCGGTTATTTTCAAGGAAAATCAGATGTATCCCTGTAGGCTTCACATTACAGAACTGAGTCTTAGTACTGTATAGTCTTACTTGCATGTCCACAGTGAAAAAGTAAGTACATGAGTTTCCCAGCAGGTTCATATGGCATTTCCATGCAATGATTGCAGACCTAGAGGAGAGGAGTGGCAGGATAATCCACTTATGCTCTTCACAGTAGATCTAGAAAGGAAATTAAAATCTCACCTTTATCTATATGAATCAGACTTCTGTCTTAATGTGCACAGTGTCTTTCTAGTTGAAACATTTTTGCAGTTGAGGGAACTGAGGCTTAGAGAGGTGAAGGGACTTTAAGTTAATTTTCTGAGACCCCCTAGCTGATCAGTGGTAAAACTGAGATTTGAACTCATGAATCTGATTCAAGAGTTCAAAGGCCCAAACTGTTAAATGCTTTCTACTGTTTAGGGGCATTGGTGGCCTTTCTTTCTTTTAAAAAAAAAAAAAAATCACAAGTAATATATATATTTTACAGTGGTTGTATATACATTGTTCTGGTTTTCTTGAGTTACTTTTTTAGATATTAAGATAATGTTACTTACTTACAAAATTAAGTTCAACGTATAATAATGTAAAGTTTTGTTTCCCATAGTTACATAATTTTACAGGTGACAGTTCTTTCATAAAGCCATTAAGTTGTGTGAAATAAGTACATAACCCTGCTGTGCTTGTGTTGTTTTCCCCACAAACTGTTTCTTATTGGTCACTTTGCACTGAGGTTTCTTTAATGCACAGTGGTCTTGATGTGTAAGAGTGTGGGCGTTTAGGGGGTAGTTTGCACCTGTGAGTAGTCATGACAAGCTAAAAGTCATCATCTTTATGTTCCTGCATTTAGAAAATGCTTCAAAGAAGAGGAAGTCCATGGATAAAAGGCCACCTATTTAAGTATATAGGTGCTTTTTACACAAATCATTGTCTTCTGACAACTATTGTTGTTATTTTAGAAACATCTTTCAATTATTTCATATTCTCTGGTTTTCTTATGTGTCCTGTGGCTAGAATAAAGAGTTTTGGTGGCATAGTGCCTAAGGCATTTGCCTGTTAACGAGAAGTTTGGCAGTTCCAAACCCACCGCCCACTCCGTGGAAGGAAGACTAGGCAATCTAGTTCTGTAACGATTTACCACCTCAGAAACTCAAAGGGGGTTGCTATGAGTCGGAATTGACTCAATGGCAGTTTTTTTTGAGCCCACTTGACGGCACATAACAACAACAACAACAAAAAGAATGAGCCAGCCGAGGACTAAGATTTTGGCTGATGGAACCATGTCCAACTTTACCTCTAGGTGGCGCTGACAGCATTTGTAAACCTGTCGTGTTCTTGACTGAGGTTGATAGGATTGAGCCCCGGGTGCACAGGAGGGTTCTGAAGCTCCCTAGTTCTGGCCTCGTTCCTTGAAAGTTGAAAAGGAGAGAACCACAGTATTTCTCAATTGTTAGGTAAAGAACTGGACCAGACATCTGAGCATAAACTGGCTACCAGATCCAGTCAGGGTGTCACAGGAGAGAAATTTTCTATAGTGTTTGTGGGAACATGTGCTCTCATACTTTGAAGGGACTGGGTTCAAATGCCTAGTTCCCATATTGCCTGGAACAAAAAGAAGGTAAAAATATGCTCCTTTGTTTCTGCTCAAGTGTGTAAGGTCTTGGGCTTTTTCAGTTTCGTGATTTGGGACTTGGAGCTGCTTGAAAGCCTGAGCTTTCCCTCTGGTGTGTCATGACCTTCTCCACCGTCTTCCTTCCACTGTCTTTACCCCATTGTGTCGCCCGCACACGGCTTGGAAGTGTAGTATGTCATGCCACACGTTATGCCTCTTGAATAGGGAAAGGTATCAAAGTTATGCTCAGCATTTGTCAAGGATATCCCACCAGTATGTTTTGCATATAATTCTGAAGATATTGCACCCACGATATTAGTAGCCCTGTTTGTTGGTAAAATTTGACATAGTTTTAAGACTTCAGTGTTGCAGAGCATGTGATGGGAACAATGCCAATCTTTATTATAGAATTTAGTACAGATAGACAAATGCTCCTAGCTGTGTATTGCAAGTCAGAATCCACTGAATTGAGTAACTCTTGTCTCCAGCAGGAACTGAGTATTTTTTTGAAATAATGATAATAGATGCTTTTTCATAGAATGATTCGGAAAACAGCTTTTTAAAAACCCATGCTGAACAAACTAAAAAGCATCCATTTTCAGGGCTCTGAAGTCCTAGTGGCACAGCAGTTAAGCATATAGCTGCTAACTGGAAAGTCAGAAGTTCGTCCCTACCAACTGCTCAGCAAGAGAAAGATGTGGCAGACTGCTTTTTAAAGATTTACATCCTTGGAAACTCCATGGGGCAGTTCTGCTCTTGGAATTGACTCAGCGGTAATGGATTTGGCTTGGTTTTTGTTAAACTTACCTGAAAGCATAGATGAATGCATTTGTCAGCCTTACAAAAGGAAGGTCCGGGGAAATGTGACAAGCTATTCGCCAGAATCCCGAGAAGGTGCACTGCCCTCTACAGTGACTTCAGTGTGCCTGAGGCCTCGTGTCTTCATGGGCTATGTGTACCCTGCATTCACTTGCTTCTTTTTAATCATTAGCATCCACTCATCTGTGTCAGTACATTCAACAGTAGTCTGTGTCATCTCCAGATCCACAGCTTCTAGTCATCTTGGGTTGTGTGTGTTTTATGTGGATGCAACTGAGGGTAATCAATTTGAGATGAACTCACAGGGTCATTTTCCTTTGAGGCTTAACTAGGAAAACCATAATCTTTCCTGAAGAGACACAACTGGGAGCAAATAGAGCTAGTTTCCTTCTTTGGAAAGGAAGCATCTCAAGAACTCCGTATTGCTTCTGTTTGGGGCCTCAAATTCTACGGGATGGAAGGATTAAGTTCATTTCACAAGAAAATTTTGTGAAATAAGTATTTTATGTAAATACTCTACCTTCTTGAACTTAGTAAAGAAAAAAGACCCTCAGTAATTTCTTTATAGATTTGTATTTTCAGTTGTCCTTGCTTTATTAGCACAGGAAGTAGGACAACTCTCACCATTTTCCTTTTTATTACATGTGAGTAAAATAGTGAGGTGCTGAGATAAAATTGTCTGTGGGGTGTTTGGGCTCAGGGTTTGTGGCTCTTACAGCAGCAGCCCCAGGGCCTCTCTGCTCGAGAGTTTCATGTGCGCGTTGCTGTTTGGCACCAGCAGGGGACGCTCAGTTTCCAGAGCCGGTTGCTGCTTCTACCAAAACGGGACAGATGCTTTTTCCTGTCAGAGGTGGAATCCAAAAAGACTTTGCCCTGGATTTTACAGTTAGGTGGATCCAATATTTGGTCTAAACGATTTGACAAGGCCTTTTTGAGACGAAGCTAATAGCCAAATTTTCACTGAAACAGGAAAAATAAAAAGTTAAAAAAATCAAAGTGAAATTGAGTTGAAAACCAAATGTGTTGTCACAGACCCAAAGAAATGTAGCACTAGCAACTTGGGGGAAAAGAAAGTGCCCATCCAGAGAACTTGGAGAATTCCACCCACGCTGTCGAGGTGGGAGGAGAGAGAGGACACTGAAAAGGTCCGAGTTGGGGACTGCGTTTTCTCTGCATCAGCCATATTCTTCAGTGGAAACTCAGAAAAGACCCCAAAGCATTTGTAATGCCTTCCCCTTCCTCCCCACCCCCAGCTCCTTCTTCAGTAGCCTTCCTTGCTAATTAACACTGGCTCCGCAGGGATATTTACCTTTTCTCTGCTGAATTCCTGTGGTTTTGAAAGAATTTAGGTACTTGCTGGTTGCCAAGGAATTCAGATTACCTCACAGGCTGCACACTGTCCAGAATCCGCCACAGCAGCAAGAGGGGGGAAGAGACAGCAACAAGGGGGAGAAAGCCCTCTCCAGCGCTCATTGTCACCCTCCCTGGCAGGCGCTGGCTGTTTGTGAAGTTTGAGTCATTCCTGGCTCTGCAGTCAGAGGATCAGGCTGGTAATCCCCTCCCAGACGGCTCCGCAGGGCGCTGCCTAGTCACTGCAGCCCTTTGGCAGTCTCCGGGCTGCAGCTGGTTGACAGCAGATCAGAGAGCTCTGGGGCCTCTTGTTCTCTTCCATAAGATTTTTCTGGGTCATACCGGGATGAAACCCAGTGGCTCCTGGCAAGGCTGCCTGAGGTGCTGTCTCTCCGTCCTCCAGGCTTCTCTGGCTCAGAATAGCTACACCTGCTGAAAGATAACCCGAGTGCCATAGCCACGGTCTTCTCAGAGCTCCTGGCCTTCCCTTGTCTTTGTACATTTGTAGTGAATGTTTGTAAGAAGATATTACCACCAAAGAGGGGGCTTAACTGTCCTGCATCTCGACCGACTGTGACTGTAACTACAGTGTCGCATTCTTAGAAGAAAAAAAATAGTGGTTGAGTTGGGAGTAAGAGAGGTTAAAAAATCCTGTTTATTCTCTGTGCTTTCCTTCCCATTTTGACTCCATATTAGTTAAGTTCCTAAAGCAAGCAACTCAGTTGCAGTTTCAGTTAACATTCATTAAGTATCTTTTGGCACTGTGCCTAAGCCATTTGACTGCTAACCAGAAGGTTGGCGGTTCAGACCCACCAGCTGCTCCACGGAAGGCAGACTGGGCAATCTACTTCCACAAAGACCTACTGCCTCACAAACATGGGTATATGGGTGGATAGATGGGTGGACAGGCTGTACGATTAGGTATATCTATGAAATGGGAAGTGTATCCAAGAATATATATAGGGTTGGCAGACAATGGTCCTATAAGTTTATGTGAATGATCAGAATTCCCAGGTGTATAGTAGAGCTGAAGGGGCAAGGTTGTGGTCACTGCTTGGTCACAGCCAGCTACCCAGAGAGACCGAGTAATTGAACCTGCAGGCTTGGGACCATAG